GCCTGGAAAATCAAGTCAACGAAAATCATTTTCCGTTGACTTTGAAAAATAGGCTTGTTTTGGAGGAAAATGACTTCCCCTTTTTTTGGGGAAGTCATTTTCCAACTTTTACACCAACATCACACCACCACCAACTTCATCAACACCATACCACCACCACCTCACTACCACCATCACCACCACTACTGTCGCCGCCACCACCATATACCACCGCAACCACACCACCACCACTACCACCACCAACACCATACCACCGCAACCACCATCAATACCATACCACCACCATACCACCATCGCCGCCACCACCACCACCATACCACCGTCGTTGCCACCACCACCATCACCACCGCCACCGCCACCGCCACCATACCACCATCGCCACCGCCACCGCCACCGCCACCATACCACCGTCGCCGCCACCACCACCATCACACCGCCACCATCATCACACCACCACGACCATACCACCGCAACCACCACCATACCACCGCAACCACTGTCGCCGCCACCACCACCACCGTCATACCACCGCAACCACCGCCACCACACCATCACCACCACCGCAACCACCGCCACCACACCATCACCACCACCACCACTACCACCACCGTCATACCACCACCGGTTGTTGTTGTTATTATTATTATTATTATTATTATTATTATTATTATTATTATTATTATTATTATTATTATTATATAACAAATAACACCACTACCACTACACCGCCACCACCACCATAATATTTTTGATATATTATTAGTTATTTTTTTATTATATTTAAAATTATTATATATTATTATACATGTTGTAATGTTCTAAATAAAATAATTAAAATGTTTAATTATACAATTCTACTCATTTTCCAGAAAATGAACCAAACACACAAAAACAGTTTTCCAGAATGCAACCAAACACTGGAAAGGAAAATGTTTTCCGGAAAATGACTCATTTTTCAGAAAACATTTTCCAGAAGTCATTTTCCTGCTTTCCAAACGGACCCTAAGTTCAACAAACGTTATCATTAATTGCACTTAGGGTTCACCTTTTAATCTTTATGTTATAACTTTTCCTATATAATTAGTTTAAGGATGTTTTTTACTATTTAGGAGTATAAATTTTATGGTTTAGCTTTTTACTTACTTTCACTCTATAGTGTTAAACATTGCACTCTATAATGTTGTTCCTTGCACTTTAAAGTTTCAGTTATTTACAAAAATGTCATTGTATTTTTTTTTCCTATACTTGCATATGATCTGTTAGACCTTTTCAGATGAACAACTCTGATTAGTTCTAAATTCTCTCCTGAGCGGCAGTATATGAGTGCGCTCATATATAAATATAAATATAAATAAATAAATAAATAAATATATATATATAGAAATCGGTTCTCGTGCGGGTGAGTGCTTCAGGTGCGGTTTAATCTGAGTCATTCATCTCGCTTTAATCAACGTCCAAAATTACCAAAATTTAAAAAAAAAAAAAAAACGCGGTAGCAATTTTGTAAGTTTTGCATCTAGGTCAAAATTAAGGTGAGTGATTTTGTGATTAATGTGCGTGAGTTTTGTATATAAGGTGCGTGAGTCTTGTGCGTAATGTGCGTGGGTTTGTGTTTAATGTGAATAGTTGTTAAAACTTAAAGTGTGTGGGCTTTTGTGTTTAAGGTGCGTGAGATTTGTTCTTAAGGTGAGTGAAGTTTGTGCTTAATGTACGTGGGGTTAGACCGGTTAGTGATTAATGTTAGTAGTTGTTGAAAACTTAAAGTCTGTGAGTTAATACTTAAAGTGCGTCAGTTTAATGCTTAATGTGCGTGAGGTTTGTGTTTAATGTGCGTGAGTTTTGTACTTAATGTGCGTGAGTTTGTGCTTAATGTGAGACATTTTAAAATCTTAAGTGTGTGAATTTTGTGCTCAATGTGCTTTGTTCTGTGCTTAATGTGCGTGCTTTTTATACTTAGGGTGAGTGATTTGTGTTCTTAAGATGCTTTGTTTGTGAACTTAAGATGCATGATGATTTGTGTATCTAAGATGCGCCATATTAATGTTTAAAAGGCGTTCAACCGCACGGGAAGCATCAACCGCACCTGAACCCTTCCCTATATATATATATATATATATATATATATATATATATATAGTAATTGGGCCAATCTAGCCCATGGTCAATTAGCATATGGAACATGCTGGGCTGGCCCCATTTGTCATGTAGTTGTTATATAATTACTTTTGAGTTAATACCCAAAATCGTCTTCGACTATAGTGATTTTTCTCAATTTCGTCTTAAACGACTTTGTTGATCTAATATCGTCCCAGACTTTTGTGTTTCGCTCAATTTAGTACTCCATTTGTTATTCCGTCAAATTGGTGTTAAATAAAGGGACAATTCAGTAATGTCAATATTGATCTCTCTTTACTTTCAACTTGTGAAGTGCGAAATTTCTCTTTCTTGTACGAATTACACCCAGAATTACTCCCGGACCTGCAAATCAAATTTTATATTCGCAGTTTTAGGAGTAATTCGTAAAAAAAAAAAAAAAAAAAAAAAAAGGATTTCGCAGTTCACATGTCTATGAGTAAAGAGATGTCAATATTAAAATTACAGAATTATCTATTTATTTAACACCAAATGGACAGAATAACAAATGAGGGACTAAATTGAGCAAAAACACAAAAGTCTGGAACTAAATTGAGCGAAACACAAAAGTCTGGGACGATATTAGGTCACCAAAGTCGTTTAGGACGAAATTGAGAAAAATCATTATAGTCGAGAACGATTTTGGGTATTAACTCAATTACTTTTTATCAATTCTATTTACTTGGTCAAATCAATTTTTTATTAATTTTTTAAATTTGAATTTTTTACTTCAATAGTACCTTTTACTATAAGTGCTAAATATATAAATTTATATATTAATATTGCACTAAATATTACAAAAAATTAAATTGTAAAGTCGAATCTTAATTACAAAAATCAGAGGAGAACAAGAATTTCTATCGAAAGTTTCTAAGGGTACCTCCAATGTTTGGAGATAAAGGGAGAGAAATCCGGAGACCAGGTGCGTAGGCGCCACACACCTTTGCTTTATATATGATTGGTTTAGAATTTTAGGTAATCTATGATTTTTAGTAATTATATTTTTTAATCGATTTTTAATAGTTTTAAACTAATTAAATTGGTTGAAACCGAAAAAATAACAAAAGAAAAATATGAAGAGATTAAAATGCCCTTACTAAAAATAGAAAAAATCTTGAGGACTAAAAGTGTCCAAAAAGTAATAATCTGGTATGTTAAAAGGCAAAAACGATAGTCTGGACTAAATTTAGAATTGCCACAAAAAACAAGGGACCTCTAGTGGAATTAATCATTAATAAATATATAACATGTGTATGTGACTTGTGTTATAATTTTGTGTCTTCTGTTATAAAATTCTGTACCTTACAAATATGAATTCTGTATCTCGCCGTTTCATTAATCTATGGTCCATAATGCTGTGTTTTGTGTTGTGAATTTTTGTGTATTGTGTTTTGAAATTCTTACGAGTATTCTCGGTGTTTCAATCCAAGGTCCATAATACTATGTGAACCCTGGTCCATGATATAAATTGCCGATTGGAGATGCCCTAAAAACCAAACACACAAAATGAGACTCGCAGGAGAATAGTTTTGTGTCTTTCTAAACAAACAAGATCACTCAACTTTCAAATGCAAGATTCTCTGCTTTCAGCTGGGTACCAAAGCCTATTTGTATGATTCATAAATTAGAGGGGTTCAATTTGAGAACCAATCCCCAATTATGAAGATATAGGCATATAGCAACAGCAGTGAAGTGAATTCTTGTCCCCCCAACAGAAGTCCAGAACAATTAGAGGAACCTTACTTCAAGGCTGTAAGGACAAAGCAGAAGAGAACAGCTAACCCTCTAAACATGGACCAACTATAACACAATAATGCAACCTACTCATACACCAATCAATACTTCCCTTCATTATCCCGTCCCTGCTGGGGATCCCCGTCCCGGGAACGGGGAAAAATTTTGGGGATCGGGGACGGAGATGGGGATACCCCTCCCCACCCCATCCCGATTAATTATTATAATTAAAAATTATATATATATATATATATATATATATATATATATATATATATATATATATATATATATGTTAATTTTTTAAAATTAAAAATACAATAATTTAAAATTTCGACTAAGAGTTGACTGCCGTCCCCGCTTAATTCCTCGCGGGGCGGGGATGGGGACAATTTTCAATTCCCCGCCGGAGATGGGGATGGGGACTGGGTCGGGGTTTCGGGGGCGGGGATGGGGACAATTTTCAATTCCCGGCCAGGGATGGGGACGGGGCGGGGATGGGGTTTCGGGGACGGGGAGTATACTCCCCGCCCCCGCCCCGTTGCCATCCCTGAATATACTCAATTAACAAATCATTACAAAGGGTAGAAACTACCTCACCAGTGTGCAAAAGCCTTCAGGTGTCTGTACATGGAAAACTTAGACATCATAAAGCAGCAGCTGCACATAGTTTCTCCCTCAAAATAAGCACGCAGAAAATATCACATTATCTTTGACAGTTAACTCTAGGAAATTGCAAAAATGCCAGTGTGAAAAGACAAGAAATCAGATCACTATACTGAATGTCTGCAATTAAGAATCAGTTCTTCCTAAGACAATTCACATGGTCTATAACTTGAAAGTAATCCTTAAAGATGATTCAATACACATATCAAAGCAGTTTAGTACTTTAGTCAAAAGACAAAACATTGACATTCACATTGTATCTGAACAAACAAACAAACTGGGATAGATTGGAAGCACCTGAAAGCAGCAGATGAATAGTGACATAATTGTATGGATAATCATCAAATCTGCTCTAATAATTCTAATGCCTAGAATCTTTTTTCATTCATTCTTCCTTTTTGAAGGTAGAAGACTATGATGGAAAGAAGAATAACAACACAGGGAAAAATAATAAATGCAAAAGGATATGATGTTTGTTGTGCTACTAATAATAAACAAAAAGGAGTAAGAATATCCAATATTATGTGCAACTAGTAAAATAACATGCTGCAAGAAATTTTTTTTTTTCTTTCCCTTCACAAAAAATGCACCACACTCCACTAGATGATGAGCTAACAAGTGTATCAAGACACACTTACAGTACACTGACAAAGTACCTTTTGATCTGCCATGATTTAATTAAGATCTGAGAACCACCCTTTGTCTTCCAATTAAAATGTATTGCTATGTATAGTACAACTTTACACTAATCCCAATATCCATAGGCTATGAGATAATGCTACGGAGAATAAGGTTGGCGCTGAGGAAGCAATCCAGAGTGATAAACATTTAGGTGGTATGTTGCATTTTGCATCAATTCTTTCAACTCAGGATGTAGGGTAAATAATGTACGATCTGCTCCCTCAAGTGCAGTCCGAACTCGGCCTTGATCCAAAGCATCATTATTACCTGCATGCAAAGCAAGGTAGCAGAGGAGAACAAATGCGGGATACTGAGACCGTTCATTCCCCCTCAACAGTCTCATAAGAGGGGGAACTGCTTTGAATTCAATAATCGTCTTTGAATGCTCTACACATAAAAAGTTCTCAGGGTAGACAAATTTCCCAAGTGAATTCGCAGCTTCTGCAGCTACATCTAGATTCCTATTGCTCAGCTGCTCAACTAAAGGACCAATTACCCTTGTCTCTCTTGCTGGAAATGTCCTAGCAAGACAACCAATTGACCTTATTGCTGAAACTTGCATCTTTGGACTATTTGATTCTTTAATCACCTTCAGCAGCTGATCCACAACAGCCTTTGCAGCAGGAGAATTAGTCTTGAAAGCGGCTCTTCTAAGGTCAGCATTAGATTCAGCTGCAGCAGTTATTTCCATTATTGCCATCAAGCAGTTTAATTGCAACTCACCTTGCTCTGTCTCAACAAGCTTAGCTAAACAAAGTAAACCTTTTGTTTCAGTTATCCTTCTACTGTTTGAAACACTCCCCTTGGCAAGCATCCACAATGCTTCTGCACAACTAACTTTTAACTTCAGTTTCACTTCCGGCTTCTCATTCTCTCTGTCCTTCCTGTGATTCCCACCCCGACTACTTCCCTCTGAATAGTGCCTTGACAGTGGCGACCCGAGAGTTCGCCTATAACTATAGGATCCCGATGATTTTTTCTCCAATTCCTTATTAATCTGTACAATGGAGTGAATGCTTTGTTTGCCAACTTTCAATTTCAGATCATCCATAAGGATGTCAAATGACAGCAAGGTCACAAGTGGCCTGATCACATTTTCCCTGGCAAAATCTTCCTGGGCAAGCGAACAATACTCTGCCATGCGAGCCACTAAATTCGCCACCCAAATTTGAACCCTCATAGGGGAATCTCCCAACACCTGAACAATAATTGGCACCCCCAGCTCATCAATAATTGCTCGAACCCTTTCTTCATCATTTGCTAAATTAAACAACGCCATGGCCGCAGCCATTTGAGCTTCAGGAGAAGAATTATCCTTTAAGAGCTTTAACAAAGGTGAAATTCCGCCTTCTTCTACAATAATTTTCTTGTTCCTATCGTTATCTTTAGCTAGTGAGTCTAATTCATTTGCAGCTTCGATTTTATCATTCAATTGCCCCAAGTGTAAAGAAGCAATGTAAGACCAAACCCAAGACACAATCGGATCGTTACTGGCAATTGGGGGAAGAGTTAAGACAATACCTCCGCCGCCGCCTTCGCCGTCGAAGATGTTGAGCAGCCACTTCATATCCGCAACCGAAGACTCGAGAAGGTTGAGAACTTTGCGAAAATCCGCGGCCGACACTATGGTAACAACGCGGCGGAGGACGTTCCGGCGCTTGCACTTCCGGACTAGGGTTAAGGCCCGGTCGATATTTTTGGAAACCTCCGCGACGATCCTCCGGACCGGCCTCTCGTAGACGGAGCCGGCGGTAGATGTGTAGAGACGAGCGACGGAGCGGAGCATCTGGCAGAGTCGGTCAACCTGTTTGCCGATCTCGGAGCACTCCAATTTGAAGGAGTCGGCTTCCTTGACAGCATCCTTAATCTGGTCCGATAACAGAATCGGAAATGATAACACCTCCTCGATTCGCTTCTCCTCAACGGCCGGCGGCGTCGCCGATGCTGCCATCGCCGATGATCGATCGATTGAACAGTGGTGTTGGGGAAGTTGAGAAGTCAGAGTGGGAGTCAAAAAGTTGAAGTTTATTTTGGGTTGGGGGCAGCCTGCGCTGTATTTTTTGTCATAAATGCGTTGTTTCATATTCGTATTTTAAGTATAAAAACACATATTTAAAGACATTCCTCGAGTTATTTAAATTTTTATTTTTCCATTTTTATAAAACAGGTGTCTCGACTTTTTTTTTTTTTTTTTTTTTAACTAAATCATTGATTTTCATTTTATGGACCTCTCTATCTTTGTTTCCAAAAGGTTGAATCTCGAATCCTAAAGGTTCGTTAATCAGACAGAGCATTTGGGAGGATGTAAATCATAACTCAGCTGAATACAGAAGCTAAACATTTACTTATTGCGCACACCAAACTCTCCTCACTTTGAAAGGTTGCTCTCACAATGTCGCTGTTTATGGACCCTTTTTGCCTTATAAGAAGGTTAATTGAGCCAAACTTTACATTTTTACTCACAAGGAGATCATCTCAATTCCAAACCCCCGAATATTTCAATTATTTGTGGGCTTTCTATTCTATTGTTTCTTTATGAGCTCACAAGCCTTTAGTTGCGACATCAAGTCAGGCGAAGAACCACTACGTTAAGTCACAGGAGCATTGTCACTTTCCGTCCTGACATCAAGTTAGGAGACGAACCACTATGATAATTCCAATGCACTTTTTATTCTGTTTTTCTATTATGTTTGGCTAAATGTGACAGTTATAATTTTAGATTTTTTATATGTTATTTGTATAAATTATTTACTCACATTATATTATTATATTATCCTACCAAATAATTTTTACTATTCATTTTTTAGAAAATTTATATATATATTTTTATATTTGTGACAATTGTATACAAACTTTAAAAGATTAATGGTGAAATATTCAAAATTTCAATTGGTGAAAAATATCAAGATGCATCTAAAAGTAACAAATTTTCACTCAAATCTAAGACTTCATTATAGAAAGTAACACTGATATCATCAAATTGTTATACATGTGACATTTAAAAATAACAAATTCTTGATATTCTTAAACAAATAACTCTTCTCAATCACATATTTGTGTTATAATAGGACGATAATTCATGCATCTATTTTAAATTGATAATTTTTGTAGTATGTAATAAAATATGAAAATAGCATAGAAATGGTGAAATAATATAATGATTTAACACCATCCACATACAGAAGCTAAGGTAGATGGAGAGAGGTGGACGTGTTCAACCTTCTGAATTAGTATATGAGTTCCAAAAGCTATTTCTTTGTTTCCTTCCACTTTCCTAATTAAATTAAAGGTTTCCAATTAAGCACTCTCTATCATGGAATTGAATGTCGCTTATCGTCAAAACTCGTAAATTAGGCAAAGCTAACTCTTACCTTCCCCTTCCTAAACGTTTGGAAGCACTCGCTATTATGGACTGCTGCTTGTGGTCAATACTCGTTTGTTCGGCCTCAGTTTTACAATATGTATTTATTGTTTTGGAAATATATATATATATATATATATATATATATATATATATATAAAATCAAATGAGACAACATCTTCCCGTGAGACACAATATGAATGCACACATTTTATTACAGGAATGTACACATTAGAGTGTGTGCAATTTGCCCAACATGAGTGCATGCAATCTAGTGTGTGCGCATGCTAGTAGTAGACCGTGTGCATTTATGTTGTGTATCACAGTCAGGGAATATGTTGTCTCACTAGAACATTAGCCTATATATATATATATATATATATATATATATATATATATATATATATATATATATATATATATAATTCAGTTCTCGTGCGTGCAGTTAAATCTGACCTATTGATCTTGCTTAAATCAACATCCACAATTAACAAAATTTAAAAAAAAAAAAAAACAAAAAACAAAACAAAACAAAACAAAAAACGGTGACAATTTGGTAATTTTTGCATCTAAATCAAATTTAAGGTGCGTGGTTTGTGTGCTTAAGGTGCGTAATTTTTGTACTTAAGGTGTCTGATTTGTGTGCTCAGCGTGCGTGTTTTTTGTGCTTAAGGTGCGTGGTTTGTGTGTTTAATGTGAGTATTTGTTGAAACTTAAGGTGCGTGATTTTTGTACTTAAGGTGCGTGCTTTTGTGCTTAAGGTGCGTGCTTTTTGGGCTTAAGGTGCATGCGTGGTTTGTGTGTTTAATGTGAGTAGTTGTTGAAACTTAAGGTGCGTTGTGTTCCTTCTTAAGGTGCGTTGTTTTCCTTCTTAAGATGCGTGAGTTGTTGAAACTTAAAGTGCGGCATTTTAAAATCTTATGTGCATGGTTTGTGTTCTTAAGCTGCGTGGTTTGGAAGCTACACCCGCACCCCCGAACCCTTCTCTCTCTCTCTCTCTCTCTCTCTCTCTCTCTCTCTCTATATATATATATATATATATATATATATATATATATATATATATATATATATATATATAAGTTCAACGAATCGAACTTCAAGAAGTGGTAACAAAAGACGTTGTTCTACCTAGCAACTCTCGGCTTGACAAGGTTCTTGATCGAGAGAGTTCTTGAGATAAAGGAACATGATGCACAATCCATGATGATGGTTGGCATATGGAAGGATTCTGACTTCCTTTATCGAAACTACATTCTCAACGGATTGTGTGATGCGCTATACAATGTATATTACAAAATTGACACAGCGAAAGCGTTGTGGAAATCCTTGGATCACAAGTACAAAAGCGTGGATGCCAACAAAGAAATTTGTTGTCGATCGATTCTTTGACTTTAAAATAGTTGATTCCAAGGCCTTGCTCAGTCAAGTTGAAGATCTACAACTAATCTTTAACGAGATCTGTGACGAGGTCATGGTCGTGAATGAAACCTTCTCAGTGGCGTCTGTGATCCACTTGTTGCCTCTACGTTGGAAGGACTTCAAGAATTACCTGAAACACAAGCGAAAGGAAATGAACTTGGAGGACCTGATCCAGCGACTCCGAATTGATGAGGCAAAGTTGATTCTGTTTACTTGCTTGAGTCTTCCAATTTATGGCATGGTAGAGTATGTCATGTTAATTTTAATTCTATGCGTAAATTAATTAGCATTAACCATATTCCTACATTTCAAATTAGCACAAATAATAAGTGTGAAATTTATGTTGAACCAACACTAACTAAGGCACCTTTCAAATCGGTTGAAAGACAAATTGAACCACTTGAATTAATCCATAGTGATTTGTGCTATTTTAAATCGATACAAACAAGAGGTGGTAATAAGTTCTTTATCACGTTTATCGATAATAGCACACGTTATTGCTATGTGTATTTGCTGAAAAGCAAAGATGAAGCCTTAGAGAAATTCATTCTTTATAAGAATGAAGTTGAAAACCAACTTAATTGCAAGATTAAGAAGGTTAGAAACGATAAAGGTGGTGAGTACGAAGCACATATCAGTGACTTCTGCGCAAGTGTAGGTATCATATACGAGTGTACGACACCTTACGCACCTCAATCGAATGGTGTTGCCGAACGCAAGAATCACACATTGAAATATGTGATGAATGCGATGCTTATAAGTTTGGGTCTACCTCAAAATATGTGGGATGAGGCGATTTTGACAAGTAATTACCTTTTAAATAAGGTACCCTGCAAGAAGCTCGATAAGACTCTTTATAAGCTGTGGAAATGTAGGAAGTCTTCCTACCAATACCTCAAAGTGTAAGGATGTCTTGCCAAAGCGTTGGTACCAACACCTAATAAATAAAGATAGGTCCTAAGATGGTGGAATGTATCTTTATTGGCTATGCACTTAACAGTAGTGTTTATTGGTTCTTAGTACATGAGTCTCATAATCCGGACGTACATAAGAATATGATAATAAAATCGAGGAATACATTCTTCTTTAAAAATGTATTTCCTTGTAGGTCTAACGAGGGACCTAGTACATCAAAACAGACGTTTGACGAAGCTATGGATAATGATAGTGGGGAATATGAGAAAAAACCCAAGCTCGAGCCTATACGCAGTAAACGGGCATGAGTTGAAAAATCATTTGGTCATGATTTTCTAACTTAGAGTATGATTTTTGTACTTTAACTTGTTTATTAGAAAATGAACCGGATTTTCTAACATGTTTATTAGAAAATGAGTCTCAAACGTATATAGAAGTCGTGACTTCTACAAAAGGACCAATGTGAAAAAAGACTATTAAGAGTGAAATGTATTCTATTTTACAGAATCACCTCGAACGTAGTTCATATCCACCTCTCCAATGGCAACAACACAGAAAGAAGTGTCAACAACCTTCTTCGACAAGTAATGAGTTATAAACTCTTCATCTGTGGCGTGGAAGCAAAATCCGACAGCAACTCCATCTAGTGATCATCCTCCATAACAACTCCGAGCAAGTTTTCCATGGCTAAAACTACCAGTGAATAATCACAGAGAAAGTGAAAAGCTAAAATGGGGATTTAATTTGCATAACAATATGCATGTGTATGATTTGTAAGTAACAATTAGGGATGTCAACGGGGTAGGGAGTATACCCCATCCCTGTCCTCGAAACAATTAAGAATTCGTTCTCCCTAATTCCAGATACCATCGTCTTCCTTGATGTTATCGCGCGAGGGAAGTCCACACTAGATATGGAGTATACCCCATCCCTGTCCTCGAAACAACTATGAATTCGTTCTCCCTAATTTCAAATACCATCATCTTCCTTGATGTTATCGCGCAAGGGAAGTCCACACTAGATATGGCTCCGGAGGTACCTAACAAATTCAAACTCCAGTTTAAGTGAAAGCAAGCATTTTTAATGTTCTCTTTTATATACTGATCTTATTTGCCCAGATTGTAGTTAACGAGAGCGGGTACAGTCTAAGCATTGGATATATGGAGCTTAGGATGTACAGTTCTTGAGATAGCAACAGCAAAACCTCCATGAGTCAATATGAAGGGGTAAATAACTGCCTTTGGGAACATGAGCAAATGACTAAATTGCCCTCAAAATTTTATCCATTAAAATTTTTCGGCCACTTTTCACTTGCAATTTAGCCGGATACACTGAAATTGAGAAAAATTGAATAGTTATAGTACTAAATTGACAGTTTCGAAACTCGTGGATTGAAATTAACAACACTCAAGTCTCCAATAGTCATATGACAAAAAGTGAAATTAACTCTTATAATATGTCCTCTCAAGAGGGCAATTCTATCAATCTTGTAAGACATGTTCATACAAGGACTAGGAACTCTCTTCAAATACATACATCCAGCCAAAATAATTCCTCTCAGAAAAGAACTGAACTCTGCTCTCACCAATCTTAAAATGTGAAGAGGCATAAGAAAACACATGGTTCCATCAATCACCATGATGTGACAATTGACAATGTTCAACCTGCCAAAATCAACAAAGCAAGGTAAAATAATGTGAATGCAGGTGAGAAAAAGATTCACAGTAAGATGAACAACAATTTAACAGTTAAAAAAGCGTTCTAAAATAATAGGAAAGACTTTAGAACGTTCTAATTCATTCGCCAGTAAAAAGAAGCTATGATTAATATGCTAGTGAACATGTTCTTGATTAAGAACCTTCCGTATCTCATAAATTTGGTTATGATTGTAAAACGTACTTTCAGATTCAAAAGCAAAAATCATTTCAGGAATATCCAAACATAGCCAGCCCACCAACATTACAAAATCACATTAATGTAAGGTTAGCAACCTAGGAAACTTAGTCCCACCTCAAAAGGAGTATTCCTTCAGATCAGCCTTTGAGTCCCCAAGTTCCATGTCAGCCATACACTCTTCTGCAGTAAGAGGAGGAAGTTGCCTAGTTTTTCGCCTTAGATTATGTTTATGCCAGTCACTCTTGAAGTGTTCTCTGAACTCCTTGGAATCTCCCACAACTGCATTGCATGTACTGCACTTGTTTAGTTTGACTTCTCCTTCTGAACTACCACTTTTTGCTGGCCTGTTCTGCTTTATCTCTCCCCTGAGATTTTCATTTTCAGAAGAGATTGTATGCTTTTGCATTTTTTCCATCAAACTTGATGATGATTCATCCTCATGATCATCATACTGATCGACAAAAGTATCGCCTTCTACATGCACATTAACTGCAAGAATTTCCAATCTTCCCTGCAAATTCCTTATCAAGGCATCGCAATCCCGAAAATGATTTGGTTCCATCTCACAAATCTGCATCAGAGTTAGAAGGAATGAAGGATGGTCAAATTCAGCATATTATAATAGCTGCAACAATTACAATCCATGATACTATATCCCGCAAGCTATGTCATTAAACAGAAACATGGACTTACAATAGAAAGTTGGCTTCCAGCTTCATCTCTTGAAATCACACCAGCATTCCACTCCTTAAGCTTCTCCATTATGGAAATTTTTTGTTCTCCTGGTATGGTTAAGCGTAACCTCATTGGGGCCCGTTTAATAGGATAGTGCTTTTGAAGCTCACGGATGACCTCCAGTGCCTATGGAACATAGAGCCAAAAATCACTTTTTTAAGAAAGTAGGCTCCTAATTCTTAGACAATATATAACTATAGCAATTAGAGAGAAAAATATAGATAGATAGAGCCAGCTTTCTACTTGATAAACAAATACAGAGAAAAGTAAAGTTGCAAATCAATATAATGGGGTAACCAGCCAAAGGAACCATATATGCAGAAGAAAAATGGGAAAGCCATATTTATTAAAACCTGTTTTTTTGAGCTACTATGTGGATCAACAGCAAAATGGATTTCATGCATTAGGCGTTCTATCATGCTTATGGTATATGGCCGCTGAGTTTCTGGGTTGACCGTCTTCTGCATGACTATTGTAGCAATATCCCTGAACTGACTTGAAAATTGTGAGTCCCTCTCTTTCCCTGCAACTTGTAGCTCTCCTTTTTCCAAAATCTGACAGAGAAAGAAATGATCCTTCATTCAAGGAATACCTTCAAAACCCTCTCTTTCTCCATAACTCCATTCAACAGGGGGATGGGGCGTTTAGGCAGGAAAAAATAAACTGTTCTACCAGGCACAACCGCACAAATCACTAAAAAAGAACCCAATTTAATGTAGAATAAAAAACCAAATTAAATTCAATAGTTGTGCAATATTTGCAGTCACTTTTAAGTTACTTAAGCAATCATCCTTGAGTGTGTTATGTGTATAGCTTTGCTATTTGCAGCTCAATAATGAATTAATGATATGTAAATATCAAAGCAATTCATGCTCAAGGAACATCACTAACTTCCACAAATCAGGTTATTAGCAGAAACTTCCAGGAATTAAGTTAACACTGAATTGTCAAAAAAAAAAAAAAAAACAAAAAAAAAATAAAAAAAATTCCATCTGACCTCCAAACAAATTTTGGTCTGATCATCTGTCCCGAATGCCGCAAGCAAATCTTTTGACTTGGCGAGAACTCCCTTGGAGACATTGGAATACACAGTATGTGACTGTAAGACTTCGTCAATGTCCTTCTCCCTATTTGAATTTTTTTTTTTAAACATTATTTGATGATATTTTGATGTGTATTGATAGATAGAGAGATAGATGGTGGAGAGAAATCGAAGCTTACACGCTAGACCGCCAAGAGAGGACTTTGTTCTTGTAGCACGCAATCTCGAAACGATTTCCGTGCTTTTTGAGACGAACGACGGCGACGTTCGTCAGCCGTTTTTGCCCTATCGGCTGCACCAGCGTCTTCGACATCTCTAGTCTCTCTCAGTCGCCGATCGATCAATGAGTTGCCGTTGTTTTCCCTTCAATTAATTTTTCTAGTCACTTCTTAAATTGGGCTAAATCTATATATGGCCTCTGGGCCATGAGGCTTTGTTGTTGGGCTTATAATATGTTGACCCAAAATGGCATGGTTTAGTTCAAGGCGAAATTATGCTGTTGAGGGAAATCGAAACTGAAATTATTATTTTTAAATGGAACGCACGTTTTTAGTAAAAAACGACATCATTTTGCAACCATGTGTATCATGCATGTTCACACGGTTGCACAGTATAACTATTGTAGTTCAAGCCCGCAAATTATGCTATAGAAACGTATTCACCACGTGCATGGTGAACACAAGGGTAGATTCATAATTTATATGCTGTAGAAATTATGAATCTACAGTATATAAATTATAAATCTACAATACGGTATATAAATTATGAGTCTACAGTATAAAAATTATGGAGATCCATAATAATTATGGATCTACAACTTAGAAATTATGGATCTATCCCGTAATTACCATGCACATGGTGAACAAGGTTGCACAGCATAACTATTGGTTAAAGCCTGCAAATTTTACTGTGGACTATCCTGTTCTCATCCGGTGCTCAATGCTCATCAAGTTCTATCGAATGCTACTTATTACTCTCTTTGTTCCATTTTATATGTCCTATTTATTAAGAAAAACTTAAAAATAGGCGGTAAAAGAATGTTATTTACACAATTTTTAAGTTTTTAATGGTCCAATTACACACTTCAATGATTTAATTGGCAAATTATGATGTGCATCCGTATGCACCATGCATGGTGCATACGGATGCAAAAACGACGTCGTTTTATTAAAAACGCTCGTCTCCTCTTAAAAAAAAATTAAGGTTCGATTCCCAGCAACAACATATGAACTAAAGTTCTAGAATCGATGAACTATAATTCTATAATCGATGAACTATAATTCCAGAATCTATGAACTAAAATTTCAGAATATAATCTATGAACTAAAAATTACAGAATGAATGAACTAAAATTCCAGAATCTATGAACTAAAATTTCAGAATCGATGAACTACAATTCCAGAATCGATGAACTATAATTCCAGAATCAATGAACTAAAATTCCATAATTTATGAACTAAAATTTCAGAATGAATGAACAACATAATGTTGTTGCTAAGAATCGAACCTGATTTTTTTTTTTAAAGGGGAGACGCGCGTTTTTAATAAAACAACGTCGTTTTTGTATCCGTATACACCATGCAGCATAACTACTCGATTTAATTGCACAATCTTTAAAAGTTCAGTGGTCTATTTGATATTGTTTCTTTATTATAATAATAAAAAAATTACGGAGGGAAAGGGTTTAAACATCATAACACAGGTCCAAATTTTGACCCGCTTCCAGCCGGATCTTTTTCTCCTCCTATGTTGGTAGACCTTTGCTCTCTACTCCCTCTGCCTTCTTCTTTTGCAACAACACAAACCCGAGAGCGCCTTTTTCAGAAATATTTAATGAGATGAATTCATCGAACAACCAAACCAGAGATTCCGTCGAAGAAAAATCCAGCAATGACGATAAAGCCTTCTTTGATATTTATGGGCCGCAGGTTTTGCACTTATTTCTCTTCAACACTGCTGCGTAGCTTTGTGGAATTTAAATTTTGTTGTTACTTTATTTCTTTTTTTGGGGTTTCAATCTTCAATCATATGATATCGAACTCGAAAACATTGTTGGAATTAGCGAAACACCGCTTTTATTAAGTTTTCTTTTGGTGCACAGTAGGTGAAATTCATAGGTTTTATGGGTTTAGTATGAATTACATTGGAGTTCTTTTGCATAAAGTGATCGTTAGCAGTAGTAACATGAGGAATTAAGATTGTTTGGAAATGGTTTGTGTAGTTTTTAGATTAAAAGTTCAGTGCTTTGAAATTTTGAGCTTGGAAGGTTACAGTTCTAATGAAGATTGGAATGTGTATAAGAAGACAATAGCCATGGCGTTCCATATAGATACTTAGATATTCTTTTGCCTTAAAATGTTGAGCTTGAATGTTTAGAGTTTTAAAGAATACTGGGAAGTGTTAAGCGTATAACATGATGGTAGCCTTCTATATTGCGGTAAATAGATGACATTCTTTGGTGTCCTTTTGGTGTAGAACTACTGTGCTTATCAAAAAGGATTTGAGCTTTAAATGCTCTTGTTTTTTTCTTGGTTATCTTTTTTCCCCTCCATTTATAGGAAAAATGACTTTGATGTAGTGCAAATTTTCTGGTGGCCTTGAATTCCCAATGATAGTAATTGGTATTTTCTTTGTAAAAGTCCAAATATCAATAGTAACTCATTCATTTCTTGAAGCGGGAAGGATTAATTACTGCTTAAACTGATAATATGATCCAAGGTTCTCTTTATGCTGTTATGCAACAAGAGATATTCTGACTTTTCTAGACTAAATTTATTCATGAACATGTTAGAAAATGTTTGATTGGTCTTGTTTTGTCTAAATAAGTAGCATTGGTACTCAGTCCAGCTCTGTTATGTAGGCAAGAGCAGAAGTTGTTTTCAAGCAACCAGAAGCCAACTCAACATTGAATTTGCAAGTATGTTTTCACTTTTCATGGCCTTGCCAAAGCTTGAAATATGTTTTCCATTTCTTTTAGAACTTGAATTTAACTGGGTTTCATATGCTCACCTAGGATGTGCAAGGATTGGCCACCTGGGTGCTTGCTGAAGGATTCATGCCATCATGGGTTTTCATCAAAGTAATGAAACTGCATTGCTTGCCTTTAAGTATTGTTCCTTTGCTATATGTCTACATGTATGCACATATGCATGTGCCAGCTTTTCTTTAAACATGCTTGAATCAGAATCATAATGGAAAACATACTATGTTAATTGTAAAAGGCTTGAGGAATGAGGTATTTTGTATTTTTGTGAAGGACAGTACCAACTCTTTACAAGTTTACTATGTTAATTGTAAAAGGCTAGATGTTTATGTGTTGGAATAAAGAATTTCTTTTTTCTGTGTTCTTTGGCAAAATTCAGTGTTTATATGGTACATAATTTGTGAACTTGCTACTTTCCACTATTGCCTTTTCATATCTACAGAATGTGCGGATAGCCAGATATTATCATATTAACTTTTGCGGATGGGGGTATTTTGTAGTCTTAGCTCTACGTCTTAGTTGAACTCTAAGAAAAGAACAATGAAGTTTATATAGTTTTTGGGGCAAAACATGGCTACAAATTTTCTGCAATGACCATCCTTTTCTTAACCATTGTTTAGTAGTAACTGCATGTCCCATACCATGTAACTTTCCTTCTCCAATAAAACAGATTTGTAGAAGTTGCTAAGGGAGCAAACATGCTTTCCGTCTATCTTGTAATATGATAGGATATAAAGTGAGATTTAATCCAGAAGATTTATGTACATGCATATTTTGTATATAATTAGTGTGTAGTACATATTCATATGAGTTATAATTAGCATGTAGTACATATTCATATGAATTTGTTTTACAGTTAGTAGCTCAAGGCATTATATATATGAATATGCTTTAACATATAAAAGTAAGAAGGTTAGGCTTGGTGTAGTGTGCAAATGCTATATGTTTATAGTTCCTTGTAAATTTGCCACAGAATGTGATATCGTTTCTTAGAAATTAAAAGCTCTAGCTGTATCTCTCACCCTATCTTATTTTCACTCCCTGTAGAACAAGCCCTTGATTCCTAAAGTGGTTATGCTGTATGTGCCTGGCCTTGATGCTGCACTTTACTTGTCCCAGTCTAAAGTTCTCAAAAGTTTTAAACAATGTGGTGGCATTCCAAGAGCAGTTTTAGCTCTCAGGTTGGTGGTCAATATAATAACCTTGAGACAATATCTTGTAATTATTGCCAATATTATTTATGCATTGTTTTTGCTTTATGTTAGCTGTGTATCAGATGGAACGCAAACTATAGATGCACTTCTTACCTACAAAATGAAAAGAAAAAGGGATGTTGCTGAACAAACAATTGCTCAAACGTCTGAACAAGGTCTGCTTTATAAAATGATCATCCTTTTGTCTTCCAAAGTTATTTGTTACATTTTATACCATGTTTCCCAATTTAGCATGAATACACATTTTAAACTATGTTGTGAGTAACTGAGGTCTGAGTTTCAACATGAAAAAATAAGAAAGTAGGGATGTTTGAAAGATGCTGTAGAGTGTAGACATGCAGATAATAATTGCTTGTGGAAAAGGGATGTAACGGATGTTTCAGTAAGAGACATTTCTATATGCTAAAGTATGGACTATGGAGAGCAACAAGAAGGCATTAAGTGAAAGAACCTGTACTTTATCAACATCATCTTTGTTTGGTTATTTGAGCAATTTTAACTAAATATGGTCCACAAATAACTGTGATAGATTCATGAAAAGTAATGTGATTGTTAGAATCCATTGTCTTGGCATGTTGAGCCTTTGGTGTATCAACTTATTGGCATATGGCTTGTCAAGTTTCAAATTTTCATAGGTCTGGTATCATTATGTGAATTATATCGGTTGTTTTTTTACTTTTTGCTGTGACTTAAAATCTTAAATAGTGCTACTCTGAATTTTTTTCTTGGTTCACCCTGATGTCTGACCATAGTTTTAGTTTGTTGACTTGAGTATACAAGTGTGTTTAATGTGTTTATATTTGTTAACTAAGAAACCAATGAGTATCGGGAGATCAATTCAGTGTCTGTGACCAACAATTAGAACATTTGGTCTGACGTTTTAAGTTTTAATTTACGAGGTTATTGGTTTGAACATTGAACTAATATTGATTGGTCATCTCCTCACTCACTGACCCATCACAATTGTGCATTCTATAAATAAACAATGTGTTCGGGAAAGCAAAATCTGTTTTTTTTAATGTCTCACCAGACCTTTCACAAGGTACATGCTTTTTCATTCATGCAGGGCCTACAAATTCTGGCTCAGAGATTACAACTTTTCTTGACCTTAAGAAAAGCATACCATTCCCCATTACTTATTACACTCTTACTGCTAAGGAACTGGAAGATAATGGATACTGTTGTGACCATCCAGGTGCCAAGGATCTCTACATTGAATTCTTTGTAGAGTATTTCCATTGAGTTTATTGAGTATTTAGTTCCTTACCCTTTTCTCTCAACAGAATATCTCTCAACACTTCCTGCTCCTTCAGGAATTCATCCATATGAGATATTAGCACTTGATTGTGAGATGGTAAATTACTGATCTAATTCATCAATGTTGTTGTCCTAACTCCTAAGCTTGCATTTTCTTCTTGAAATATGACTATACAACTATGGTTTTGCTTCTGTGTTTTGATGTTATCTTGTTGAGTCACTGCATCTGCACATATTTACACTTTCACGTTAAACCATTTGGAGCTAGTCATATTCCCAATCCTAATTCATCAAAATGCCAGCTAGAGGAAATATGCATTTTCTTAACAATGAGTTCTTACCAGTGAATGGTGCAAATCATAGCATGACCAATGAATAATACTGAGTAAAATTTATGGTTCAACCAGTTCAATAGTTGATTAGTTGGTTCATTGGTTCAACAATTGGTTTTTGAAATAGTATATTAAAATAGTTTTATAAAAATATGTATATAGGCACTAAAATGCACAAGTGATGTACATTGAATGTATTTCATAAATAGTACTAGTTGAGAGCAGAAAAAGTAAAATGCAAAAAAAAGAAAAGAAAAAAAAAGAGATTGCTGATTGCTCATTCCAACTGTAGAAAGCACTTGCCTAGAGTATCCCATAATTTGTAATTATCTAATCTTGTAGGTAATTTCTTATGCATTTCCCTAGGCCAGCCCATTCCATCAAACTCCTTACATCTATCTATTTCACATGGCAATCATTCTTTTAGAGGATAGTTCTAGTGATATCTCACTGGAGGGTTGATTTTAAATTGCTAGTCACCCTTGACTCCATCAGAATTCGGAAGTGTTTTTTATCTCCTGGAATCTGGTAACTGTGGTTTCCCGTTGGAGAAGAGAAGCTATTCCAACAATGTGAGGATTTGAGGATAAGCTATTCCAACATTGGTTTTTCTTTACTTCTCTGTTTCAGATTGCCTTTTTGGCCTTTTGCTTCTTCAAGGGTAATTATAATAATAATGATAATTATTAAATTCAATAAAGGAGTTAAGCTTCTGGTTTTCTGACTGGAATGGTTTTGAAAAGCCTGGACCGCTGCCACATTGTTTCTCCTGGTTATAGGCTCTCTAGTTTGGAAGAAGGCCTTTGTACTATTAATTATTTTTCAAATGCTTGGCTAATAATAGTAATGAGTTAAACAAGCTTCATATTACTTTATAGTTTTTCTTTTCCCTTGTCTGGATCCTTTTTTCTTTTTTTGGTTGGGAGGTGGTAGGGTGGAGGGATACAATTTTCTTATTTATAGTCATCATCATTGAGAATATGATTCATCTTACTTTCGTTATTTATTTTTGTTTCTTTTAAATGTTTTACATGGCTAGTGTATTACAAATGAAGGATTTGAACTCACCAGAGTCACACTTGTAAATTTTCAAGGGCAGGTATTCACCATCCATGTCTTTACTTATCTTCCTATGTGAGGTACTTGTTCAGTATGGTAAATTGTTCATATTATTTAACTGTTTCTATGATGTGTATCCGTCTTTTAATCAATCCCATTGTATTCAGAGTTCCATACACTGATTATATTTTTCTTTATCCATTTTGAATGTTTTGTTTTGACTTTACATGTCTATGCGAATAAGCCGAATATCAAGTTTAAGGATTTGACTTGGTAATTTGTTAGGTGAATTTGAAAGACACGTTATTAGTTTAATAAAGTTGGAAACTGTAATAATGTGTCTTATAACTTCTAGATGTAAAAGCATGGAATACTTTTTTTTTTTTTTTGCTTCATGGAAAGCGGACAATATTTTAGGGAATTTTAAAAAACAAAACTAGACATTCAATCTGGGATGGAAGGGGGTCTTCCTCTTCCATTTTTATTCTCTCTTCGACTGGGGGCATTGTTAAGCTTGACTGTACATGCCTCAACATTACATATCATATATAAGAAATCTGCTTAACTGCCTATCTTGCAAAGCTTGACTTTACATGCCTCAGCATTACATATCATATATAAGAAATCTGCTTAACTGCCTATCTCGCAAATTGTGATGTGGCCCTGTCATACTAGCTTATGTATGGGATTTTTGCAATATTTTTGGACAAGTTTTTGCTTATTTCATACATTTAGTTTATACTTGAGTTTTTTCTGATCAAGGGTAATTTTATTAAAAAAAAAAATTGCAGGTTGTATTAGATAAACTGGTTAAGCCACTTAATGAGATTATTGATTATAACACAAGGTATGTTCTTGATAACTCTTTCTTTTTGACCATTTATATATCTCTTTATGTCTGAGATTTGGGTGGTGAGATGGACATGGGGGATATGGGCCTGGATTTAACTCATATACAATTCCAATTAAAATTATTGAAGCTAAATGCATGGGGAATGAAGATGTGCAGAGTAAATTTTATCCCTACTACTAGAAACCTTATCTTTTCATAAGGAATTCTCCATATATCTTAATAATGATGTCAACATAAGGAACTGTAGACAAGCGAAATTCTTCTTTTCATTCCTTGCAATGAAAGTGAAATTAAAACGATCTCTCATATGACCTTTAATATTGATATTTCTTTATTAGTTAATTGTTCATTTTTGCATCTCTTTTGTACTAAATACCGTTTTGATAAAACAGAGGCTGACATGAATCATAACCATAGTTGGGACATTCTGCTGCATTCAATGAGTTGCTTCAATAATATAATGCATATGTTATTCTGATTTTGAGAATAGTATGGATTCTTTCCTTCTATAAGGCTATAGGTCTATATTCTATAACTTAATGCAACAGAAGAATTTGATGATAGTACTCCCATCCTCAAAAAATAGTCATGAGTAGGAGAAGCCACAGATTAAGTAAACTTTATTTAATGTCCTATTGTGCATTTAAATTTAATTGATTATTTCTGGATTTACCCTTGACATTGAGGGCTCAGATTTGGCCTTGTTGAAAGAAGTCATTTTTATCTAAAAGAATAGAAGTATCAGCAAATATGTTACTTTGGTATAGAAATGAGGAGAGCCCTTGCTGATGCTTGTAGGGTATACTATTATCATTGCATGGAAATTCCTAATTCATAAATTAATCAAGGGCATTTGCTTGGGGAGAGCATTCTGGATATAACTGTTCAACTCTAGAGATTGTTTTTTTTGAAATCACTCTAGAGATTGTTTGTTCATCTTAGATACACATATATATATTTTTTAATTTTATATTATAAATGTTCTTATATGTGACATGAATTAAGTTCTACACTTTTGCCACCTCTGGCTTGAAGTGAAGATGCAATTACATAAATGGAATTAGAATCTATATTGCCCATCTTATTAGTAGTGACATTGTATTTATAGCATGATGGCCATATTTTGGCAATTCTGATTTTTTCTTTCAGGTACAGCGGAATCACGCATGAGATGTTGGATGGTGTGACTACCACTCTTAAAGATATTCAGGTTTATAAGTTTATTATCAGGGCCTTCTGCTGTATAATTTCTTCATTCCTCATTGAAAAAGAAACTTTTACATAATTGTGGACAGTGGACTTCTCTGACTTCTAGTCTGCTTGGTATACTAAATTCTCACCTTATATATTTCTCCTCTATGGTTTTAACTGTTGCACATTTCTTCAGGAGGATTTTCTACAACTGGTCTTTAAAGAAACTGTTCTGATTGGACACTCCTTAGAGAATGATTTGTCAGCTCTAAAGATCATTCACAATTTGGTGATTGACACTGCCATACTGTACAAACACCCAAAGGGAAGATCATTCAAAACTGCACTTCGTGTTCTAAGCAGGAGATTTCTTGGGAGGCAGATACAAGATTCTGGAAATGGGCATGATAGCATTGAAGACGCAAGAGCTGCAATGGAGCTGGCCATACTAAAGATTCGAAATGGTAAGTCTGTTATCTTCTTTGTGTGCAACACACAAACTTCTGTAATCAAAATTGCTCATAGTGTTGCAGGGCTTACATAATTATTACAATACTTTTGTAATAAATCAGATAATAATACGGAGTATATATTATTAATGCTTTATTGGAGTAAAATTATAGTAAGAATTTACTGTTTTGCCCTGCAAATGGGCTTAAACTTGCCATTTAATCTGTCTATTTACCACTGTTGCAAAAATCGGCCTAGGCGCCTAACTTGGCCAAGTGAGCCTTGCTAATTTTTTTTCATTATATATATATATATATATATATATATATATATATATATATATATATATGTGTGTGTGTGTGTGTGTGTGTGTGTGTGTGTGTGTGTGTGTGTGTATTCAAATGAGGACAAGTATATTATAGAGGACTGGTGAGGACAGATGTAGCGTGTGCCATTAGCCGGTATGTTGTGTGCATAGCCGAATGTAGTCGTGTGCCACAGTTTGTATGTCGCGTGCTAGATTTGCTAATTTATAGAGCCTGAGTTCGAAACCTGATGTTTACATTTATTCTTGTGTGCCATTATGTATTAAGTTGTGTGCCTGGTATTAATTTGTTGTGTGCCCATTATTTGTCCTCACAGTCCTCTATATATTGCTGTCCTCATTTGAACTCAACCCTATATATATATATATATATATATATATATATATATATATATATATATATATATCTACCCACACACGTGCACAAATTTATTTATTTTAGTTTGCTGCCACCGCCCGACTAGCGCCTAGCGCTTACTGCAACCATGCTATTTATAATAGGGAAAATATTTTATGGCACCAATAGCCTGATAGAGTTGATAAATTGTAAATATGAAATCTCATTTGTAATGAAGTGATGGAAATAGAATGGGTTTGGGTGGAATTAACTTTTACAACATTCTGATTTCTGAAATTTCTTTATTTATTTTGAATTTCTGAAACTAGGACCTGATTTTGGTTCGCCTCAACCACTCCTGCGAAAGAAACTCCTCACAGTTTTGAGTGACTCTGGGAAAACATCCTCCATAATTGATAATATGTACATAGTGAAAAGATATGCCTCAGAGTCATCCCACTCAATTGCAGTATCATCTGATGACGAAGCTCTTGCAAAAGCCAATAAAGAGGTAGGGAGAGGAGGCTTGTATCTCCTGTTGTTGAACAATAAGGTTAAGGATGTAGACTACATTAGTTAATAGCTAGCTAATTATTATATTGCTTTGTTGTCTTTGTAGGCGAGAAATGACAAGGTCCATTTTATTTGGACCCAATTTTCAGAATTGCATTCCTACTTCAAGAAGGAAGCAGATGATGCTGAGAAGCTAAATAGAAAGTTAGCACAGATGATAGCAATGCTAACATGTGAGAAGAAGTCTTCGAACAGAAAAAACATCAAATATGAGATAACACCTGAATTGAAGAACATTCTTAATCGTATGGATGTTAGGGTTAGAAGCCTCTATGCCAATCTACCTCCAAATGCCATGCTTGTTATTTGCACTGGTCATGGAGACACTGCAATAGTTCAAAGGTAAGTTCAAACACTGCAATGATTTATCTTATGAAGTCACGTTTGCTTAAATACGGAGATATTTTTGAATGTGTTTTGTATTACTCCAACCCAAAATATTCAATGGCCCTGTTTGGTAAAATAGTTAGCCTATCAGTCAATTTTTGCTTATTTGACCACTATTAGCTGTTTGACTTGGTTAAACAATCGATATGAGTTTTGATTAATTAGCTTTTTCTAACAACTTATTGCTCCAAAATGCTAAAATTCAAAAAGCTGTTCAAAGTAGCTTTTTGAGAAAGTCATTTTGTATGTAATCAGCTAACAGCTAACAACTAATTTACCAAACGCTTTTCTACAATCAGCTAATGCTATCAACTAGTCAAACTCACTAACTCAATCAGCTAATAGCCATTTACCAAACACCCCCAATGTGTTTCTGAGTATTTGCATTAATTTAAGATATATGGTGTGATATCTTGGGTTGGAGCATAGGCTGCCACCAAAACCTTTTTTGTTAGATGGATTTATAAAGTGATCATATGGTGTGTTTTCGATGTTTGAAATGGTGGTACGCGTGCTAATGAAGTTTGCTGATTTATTGCCGTTTTTGTGCTTGCATATGCCTGTGAAGAGTGAGGAAAATCCTGTCGGAACAAACTGAAACTGCAATGTCCCGGGAGAAACTTGTTAAAGTGCTGGAAGATCTGCAGGCCCAAGCTGAAGTGGGATTGTGCTTTGCAGGTGTGAAACATTAAACATCATTATGATGGATGGATGGATGGCTCTACATTCTACACATTGTATAGTAAACAAGTTTTGAAGAAATATTAGGAGGAGGATTAGCATTTGAATCTCTAAATGAGGCCTGTAACTGCCTAGTAGCGTTGTAAAGACTGGGAAAATGTTGTATATTTAATTTCAGTGGTTTCCCTGTTGTACCTGAGAAGTGAGAACTAGTAGTATTATATACTTATATATTTTAATATAACCATGGACCTTGTGACAGTTCTTGCTGGTACTGTATAGTTCTGTTTGACGCAATTTAGAAAATAATACTCCAATAATAATATGATATTCCAGTTTTTATATTTTTAGGTGGGGAATAAAATAATGAAATACTAGAGTTAAAAGTACGTTATTGGAAGGCTATAAAACTAAAAGGCAGCTATTGAACGTCTCTTGAAGTCTTATGATCAATTGTTAGAGCATCTACATAATAATGCAAAGTTTATACACGGTTTTTGAGAAATATATATATATATATATATATATATATATATATATATATATATATATATATATATATATATATATAAAATAAGTTTTGTTTTATTTTTTGTTTTATTTTTTTCTCTCCCATCTCTTATTCTCTTTTCTAATTACACTTACAATTATTCCTCAAAAATCTATATCTTTTCACTATTATGGATGCTCTTATACCATGCACAATACCACCCTCCACCACCAACATCCTCTCTCCCTCTTATCTTCGGCTAGTACCAATGCGGCGGATGACGTCAGGATTACAAACCATAGAGGAAAGACTTGAGAAAGGGGGTTGAGAATAGTGATTGATGTTTTTGTCCCTCTAAATAACGGTTATTGGATGACATTTGTAACGGAAAATCAAATGGAGTCGATTTTATAAGTTAGAGGACTAAATTTTGTACTTTTAATTTTCTGATACTAAATCAGCTATTACCCAATAGTCGAGGGGCCAAAATAGGTATTAACTCTTTTAATAAATTAACCTTAAGCATATGTCCTCATCTGTGTGTGTGTGTGTGTGTATGACTTTTAATTTTCTGATACTAAATCAGCTATTTTCCAATAGTCGAGGGGCCAAAATAGGTATTAACTCTTTTAAAAAATTAACCTTAAGCAGTTAAGAATATGTCCTCATCTGTGTGTGCGCCCAGGAGAGAACTGAGAGCCATTCAGTGCCGTCCACATGTCCAGATCAACGAATCATATGTAATTTTAAAAACAAATGACGCGGTGGTATTTTCATAAATAACTCGAACTTTAGTGCATGTAAACGTGTTATGAGTGCAAGTAGTTGGTGCATCTTTGGAAATAAAAAGTGCAGATAATCATTTACAAGTGCACCTACTTTCACCTATAAGTGCATGTAATTTTGTCTGGTTAACATTCATGCACCTAGGTGCAACTACTTATAACAATAGGTGCACCTAGTTATAACATCAGATGCACTTAGTTTTGATGCTCAGTATAAATTTTACTTGCACCTGTAATACATTTTACCTGCACTTGTAATACATTTTACATGCATTGAAGTGCACTATATGAAACTGTTACTTGCACTTGTAATATATATTTTGTGAATATAGAGTTCAAAAATTGTGAATATATATTCAAGAATTGCGTTATACTGTTGAATATAGAGTTCTGTAATTGTGAATATAGAGTTCTGTAATTTTGTATATTGAAATATAAAATTGTGAATATTCAGTTCTAAAATTGTAAATATAGAGTTCTAAAATTGTGAATATAGAAGAACGAATTATGAAGACAAACGGCAAGAAAGAAAGCAATTTTTTATTTTCTGTATATTTTAAAAATCCAAACGGTCGTTTTAAAGCAAAATGACATCGTTTTTTACCCAGGTCCACCTTGCAGTCCATTGCATAACCGCAAATTATGTTGTGCAACCGTATGCACCATGCATGGTGCACACGGTTGCAAAACGACACCGTTTTACTATGATGGAGTAACGGTGTCATTAGTGGCACCGTTTAACTCCACCAATCAAATATTTTTTTATTTTTTATTTATTACAAAAACTTCAATCGACGTGTAATTATGGATATATAGTTATGAAGTTATAGATAAATAGTTATGAAGTTATGGATATATAGTTTTGAAATTATGGATGTGTAGTTATGCAATTATGCATATAGTTCTCTGTGAACAAGCACTTTAAGAATTCTGAATATGGAGTTATGTAATTATGAATGTCTAGTTGTGAAATTATGAATATATGGATATGAAATTATGAATGTGTATTGTGTAGTTATTATTTTTGAATGTACTGTTGTGAAATTATGAATATATAATTATGTAATTCTGGATATATAGTTATGAAATTATAGATATATCCTACTATTTGAATACGAAAGGAAACCGCCTAATGCCGTTAACGACAATCCGAAAGATTTTTTTTTTTTTTTTTTTTTTTTTTTTTTTAATGAAACAGCGTCGTTTTGCAACCGTGTGCACAACGGTTGCACCACGATTGCACAACGGTTGCACAACATAAGTACATAACGATTGTGGCATAACAATTGGCCGCATTTTGCGCATCTCATAAAATGAATTAAAATCAAGCAATTCAAACATCTATTGTATGATAGAATCCATAATGATAATACGTTTAATTAGCTATGGTAGATTGTCTGCGAAACTAATCTTAAAACATGATATGATGATGCTACATACCCAATCTTCTTACTACATCATATCATATCATATTACAACCCATAAAAGCCTATCATATTACAACCCATAGAAGCCTATCCTTCTATGAATACAGAACTCAAAATGATAATCAACAGTGGGGTAAGAGAGCCAAATGCGTTTCCATTCCTTGGATAAAATACAAGTACGGGCAACCTCATCGATAGGAAGGAAGGAAAAGATATGATGAATAATCGGGTCAGGCAGCATTGAGATATAGTCGGTATCATCGCCTGGTATCAAATCTTTCTTTTTATTTTTCATGTTAAACCAACGTACAACATTGACGATGAATTGAAGCAATTTATCAAACCCGAAGTAGTGGTGGCAGATGTTATATAGTGGACCATAGGCCATGATCGTCAAATGAAACTGTACTAGAATTAAAATGATGCTTTTCTATTAGTATAATGAAACTAAAAACATAGTACATTATTGTCAAATAAAACTGTAGTATAATTAAAATGATACTTTAGTATTACTATAATGAAACTAGTGTGCGTGGAAAATGAAACTAAAATCCAGAGTCATATAATAACATATATTGTCGAATGACCTAAAGTGCATCAAATATTACATCAACATTACTATAATTAAACTAGTGTGTGTGAAAAATGAAAAAAAAAAAAACAAAAAATAGAGTTCAAGCTATAATGTATATTATCAACTGAAACTATAGTAGAATTAAAATGATACTTTAGTATTGCTATAATGAAACTAGTGTGGAGAGAAACTAAAAAAACATAACAATATTATCAAATAAAACTGAAGTGTAATTAAAATGATGCATACTTCACGATCTATGTTGCTACATGGACCATGATCCATAGTAAAATTTCAAATTAAAGTACAGCAATAGAACTAAAACATGAACTGGAAATACAAATCAAGAACACATACATACCTCAATAAAGAACCCCAAGAACCAAAAACCATTTTATTTTCAGGGTAGGTAGGTGCAAGCTCTGATCTTCCAAAGAGCTGAGATCGATGATAACAAATGAACCTTTAATAGATAAGAATACAAAAGATAAATAATAACAATTTTATTCTATTATTATGAAGATATTTTTATTCAATTTTTTTTAAAAATATTAAGTTATTACTAATATATATATATATATATATATATATATATATATATATATATATATATATATATATATATATAATGTTTATTTTTGAAGGTAAATTATTTGTGAATTAAAAAAGTTATTGAACAATATAGTTCTTAAGTCTGAATAAAGTTATTTATCCTTCAAAAAAAAAAAATATTTGTGAACTAAAGATTTCATTATTTTACCAAACAATGAACCATCAGACTTTAGTACACAAATAACATACCTTCAATATACTAATAAGGAACATTTATTTATGATCCAAGTATAATTTCCCACTCGAAAGGACGTAGACGACTAGGTATCAAGCATTTATAATAACAATATTTATTTCTATTGTACAAAAAGAAAACAAGATATAAAATATACATAATTGATTATGTATATTTTATATCTTGTTTTCAACTTATTATGTTTTCCATTTGGAAAAAAAAAATATTATTGTTTGTATTTTTGTTGAAAATGTTGAGAAAAATTGACATTTTAAGTAACTGCGTAATATTATTTAAGATCTGAAAATTAACCTTCAAACAGTATTAAAAAAAATATTGCTACCAAGAAATACATATAAATTAAAGCTGAATATTTCAATTACTTTCAAACAAGAAAAATAGAAGGACAAATACACTAAGGGTCTATTTGGAAAGTAGAAAAATGACTCCTGAAAAATATTTTTTTGAAAAATGAGTCATTTTCCGAAAAATAATTTCCTTTCTCGTATTTGGCAGCACAACAGAAAACTGTTTTTGTGTGTTTGGTCCATTTTCTAAAAAATGAGGTAGAATTGTATAATTAAACATTTTATATAATTAATTATTTTGTTTAAAATAAAAAAATATTTATAATAATATTTATTTTTTAAAATCAAATAATATTAATTATTAAAAAGTTAAAAAATTAAAAAAAAAAAGAACAACAAAAAAAAAGGACGGTGGAAACCAGAGAGAACTTCTCGATCTCTGGTTTCCCTTCTCTCTGGTTTCCACAGCCGGAAACCAATAACCAGACTGGTTTCCGTTTGCGGAAACTAGAGTTCATCTCTTCTTCTCAATTTTATTTTATTATTATTATTTTTTTTTACGCTTTTCACCGGAAACCAGAGAGAACTTCTCTCTGGTTTCCACAGTATCTGATTTCCGGAGTTTTGGTGGAAGTCGTTTTCCGCCAAATTGGGTTTATTTTTTCCAATCAACGAAAAATGTGTTTTTCGTTGACTGGATTTTCCAACCCCATCCAAACATGAAAAACTCGAAAAATGATTTTCAGAAATCATTTTCCAGGTTTCCAAACACAGCCTAAATCACCACCCTCAGGTTATCAATTATATATTCTTTGAGGTCAAAGCTTGTAATCAAATTTTAGCAAATAATAAGAAAAAATAAGAACAAATCAAATTTTCATAGTAGCAAA